GGGTTAGAATGACATGGAAGCAAGATCTTTCGGTGGTGTGCTTTATGTTCGTAACGTACTAGCGATAAACCCAACAGGTGCTCTGATTTAAAATTGTCGGATGAAACCGCTCGAGACACAAATATTATGTATATATAACATATAGTTACATAATCAAAACAAAAGAAAAAAATAAATATGCCGGCATAGATTGAAAACATGCGTGTAAATGCATTCTGTTGATATAACAAAAATACTTGTATCACACGCAAATAATTCTCAATCAGATCGAAGAAAAAAGCATATTTCTGCTTTTTTCACGATAATATATTGTGATTAGACTTTTGCTATATCAGCTTATCAGGGTGTGGGATCTCTTGAAGGAACGTGCGATTGTATATTGTACGTTATTAAAAACAAGAGATATAAAATTTCGTGATTAGTAATTACCATTTCAAATTGAGCCGAGCTGGGCGTGACGGACTTGATTTGACTTTGTGTCTGAGCCACGTCGCTCGAAACCTACAACACACACGTAACATGCAAAGCGATAATTTCATAGTTAGTCGCGTATAATAAACTAGAAACATATCCTACTATTCGCTGAGTAGATATGCATCTATGTTAGTTGATGTATTTAGTTCTCATACATACTTTGGCAGGATTAATAGCCCTTCGAAAGAAGTAGATTTCGTCTTCAGTTACCGCCGACGAATGATTAAACTTCTTTAAACCTTCCTGACTAAGTTTCTTCATCAAGCTTTTACTTTCATCATAAAGCGATTCACAAATGTATACGTCATCTTCTGGTATCTCCGTCGGTCTGCCTATATAATTTATCCGAATAACATTACAATAATTTCTTTTTTAATTTCATTCAAATGATGAATACTCACTGCATATGTACTCTCCATAATCAAGGACGGCACATTTTCCAACAATAGCTACAATGGGATGAGTACCATCGACAGTAGATAAAAACAATTCTTGCTTATAAAATAATTTCGTAGGCGTATGTGGCACTTCTGTAGGCATTAATAACCACGGGCCTTTGAAGTAATATTTCCCGCTAAAAATATAATGATACATTACATATATATCACGTAATACAAATATTTCAAGAAAATATATAAAACAAATATTTCATTATAGATTCGTTACTTACTCTTTGGTTGACCATATAGCATCGACTTGAGCTATTTGTTGTCTGCCCCCGTCTGTTGCAACATAAACAAAATCGCCGGTTTTCACAGATCCTGCGCATGTATTGTACTGCTCATAATACGTGTTTTCAGTATCCTCCGGATTATACAGTATTACATTCTAAAATATAAAATACATTCAACAATAATAATTAAAATAATTAAAAAACAAAATAGCTTATATCTCGAGCAAATGAAAAAAAAATTTATTCAACTACTAACAGGTCTTTCTTTTTCCATCAATTTTTCTCCCTCCTCCAACTCGGCGATTTCTTCTTTATGTTTTTCCAGACGTTCTTTGTATACAGAGATTACTCGTTTCGGTTCTAACATTTTTTCTCTAGGAACTAACTTCAAATGATCAGGGTCAAAATTCCAGACTTTAATCTTTTTGAACGCCCGAGCTTTTGTAGAATAACGTGACTCGCATACATAGACGTCTTTTTCTTGGAATCCTTCAGGCTGCATTCGAAAATAATCCTTCACACTTAAAACACAACATCTGCCCGCTACTTTCGCTAAAGGTACTGCGACGTGAGCGTCACTCTTGAATAATTCTTTGTCTAAAAATTTCCGCGACGCCACATGATACGTTTCACTCGGTCTGTAAAATAAATTTCCATACAACATTTGCTGACCATCTGCATTGGTCCAAAGCCTTTCTATAAGAACTACGCTGTATTCCATGCCTCTCTCAGTAGGTTCAATATATGTAAAATCACCAGCCCTATATACT